TTTTAAAGAGGCGAATATAAGCTCAGTTTCCACAACGGTAGGCACACCTGCGCCATCTACTAACATGACGGTGCAAGCGCTGTATCACAAATTACGCCTTTACCGAAACCGAGTGTACCCGTAGGAATTTTTCATATCTTAACCCAGATGCGAGAGACTCCACAGAACAAATAGGCATGTGTGTTGACAAACGTGAGACTCCTCTTCCATAGTACTGTCGTTCAACTTCCCAGAAAAAAAGAGATCAGAACATATGACTCCTATCTTAAAAGACTTTATACTGGCTATGGACAACTGTACAATGGATTTTAAATGTTGCAACCACTGAATGGTTTGGGTTCTGAATACATTAAAGAAATGCTGATTGAATACAAAGGTGTGTGGACTTGGGTTGAACTCTGGGCTCCACTAATTTGGAGCCCAGAGTTCAAAGCATACATGCTGCATCAGCATTTTGCTGTATGCTTGCACGCAAACGAAGTAAGATGCAGACAGAATTCAAGTTAGCGTCAAGTGGCAATGCTTTTAAATCCAGGTTAAAAAACAAAACAAAACAGTGCTCCCACCCCTCCCCCACCGCACATACCTACAGTAGGATTAAGGTCTTTTCGAAGCATTTCTCGAATCTATTTTTCCAAAATGATGCTCTTGCGCCGCATGTTCATTGAAACAACTTTTTTTATTTCTCTTCTTGGCTTTTAAATCTCTGAAGGGTTTAATTTTTTTTTAATGTCTTAAATTTGTTTAAGAATAAGAATACGAATACCTTTATTCGTCTCACAATGGAGAAATTCCCAATTTATAGCAGCAAAGTTATGAAAGGAAGAAAGTAGATGAACAAAAAGTAGAGGAGCTGCTGCTTACTTTCAAATGTTATATTTCACCCTTGAATGTTTCCTTTAAATGTGGTTTTCTAACTACTGTGTGTGAAGCACATTGAGTTACCCGGTGTATGAAATGCGCTAACATTTAAATAAAGCTGCCTTGCCTTACAAAGATTAAGAGGCAGCGTGGTTGGCAGTAACTGCTATCTTATAGTATGCACACTGTTTTTGGTAAACAAATATTTGCTGTGGTGACTGACTCGACTTATCGGCGAGCTCTGCAGAAGCCTGATAACGATTTTGATCGTTTGAATCAGGTGCGTTTGGAGGAGGGAATGATTTAAAACGTGCAGGATAGTGGCCCTCGGGGTAATTTGTTAATATGGAGAAAAAAAAATTGCAAAAAGAAAAAAATAAGTAAAAAACTGCCTAAAATGGGCATATTTTCGCCAAATTTTTAAAAAAGCTAATATCATCCGATGAATTACTCGACCCCGAATCTTAACATACCCCACACCACAGGATCATAGAGGAGGGAATGATGATAATTTGCTAATATGGGAAAAAACATTGCAAAAAGAAAAAAATAAATAAAAAATTGCCTAAAATGGGCATATTTTCGCTAAATTTTTCAAAGAGCTAATATCGTCCGATGAATTAATCGGCCCCGAATCTTAACATACCCCACACCACAGGATCATCTTTCAGAGATATCCGATTATCAGGCCTTTGCTGACTTTGATCAGAAGAAGTGAAAACATGACAAACTCCAAAAGTCAAGCTTTTCAGGGATGTTCGAGTAAAGCGTGGACCGCAGCCAGCGGTTACATGAGTCGCAGTGCCGCTCTCCTCCAAAGACTTGAATGTCGCATCACTCCCTGGGAAGTCAAAGCGCCGGTTGCGGCTTTGTCATCTTCTCCAGCGGACGGCAAGTCATCGCCGACTGTCAAAGTCAATATACACCTGAGCGACCCAGCGCCGCCACGCACACGTATGACTGAGCTGCGCGGGGCATGTACGTGTGTGCGCGCGAGCAAAACGGCTGCTCGGTGCGTCACTTTGACTGACGTAACCCCGGTGTTGACAAGCAGCAGACACCTCGCAGTCTCACGCGGTGACTGATTCAGACAGGGAGGGAACGAGCGGCACGGAGAACGGAGAGACGCACTTTTAAACCTCTTGAACGCGCGCGGCGCTGAAAGCCTGCTGTCGTTTTACGTTTCCCTTCACTTGTCTCAAAGACGTCATTTTTTTGTTGTAGTCACAAGCACACCGGCACATCGCCGCTCTACGACTCCCAGCGCCACCTTTGTTTGCCGTCATGCATCACGACTGATTGAATAGAGGATGTTGTTACCTCTCTCAAGGATGTTGGAGTTTCATTGCAGAGTGAAGGATTATTTAAAAACTGCGTTTTGGCACAAAGGGGTCCAGAGGCCTCTTTTCGAACAATGTGAGCACTTTAGGACATTTTTTTAGAAGATTTGATTGAACAAAACATGCATCCCAATTTAGTGATGCTCTGATTGATTGTCCACCGAATGCGGTCGGCTGATTGTGAAAAAGTGTGTGATCGCCCTTTCATTGCTGATCACAAACACCAATCAGCCACAGCTCGTATTTTGCAACCTGCAGCCAACTGGAGATGCAAATGTTTGTGCTTTTTTTTTTTTTTTTTGTAATGTCAGTTGATGATAATGTCTTGTTTGTGTACAATAAAACATAAATAAAACTGTTTTTTAATTGGATCAGTCGATTAATCAAAAAGTATTTGATAGATTAATCGAATGATAAAGTAATTGTTAGTGAGAGGCAGTAAAATTGAAAAATCGATCAGAATCGGTATTGGCTGATCTCACTCATGGATTGTCATTATTTGAATCGGCAGCATAAAAACCTGATTGCAACATCCCTAATCCCATTTATGACTGCCTAAAAGTTTATCCAGAGCAATAAACCTGTAATCTGCTCAATAAAACCTCACAGCCAGCAATCGTGAAAGTTAAACCTGTTCTATACTTCCTGATGGCAAATCCAAAAATACTGTCTGAGTCACGGATTCTGCGATTGTTTCATGAAATGAAACAAGAACCTGACCATGTTACAAACGGAAGCGTGTGAAATGAGAGGATGCCTGTGAATATTTTCGTTCATCCGGGTCATTTCATTCTCCGGGCACTGAGCCAATCGCGGCTGGACTGCTCCGGTTGTCTTCGAACATGTTTTGCCTCTCATCCGAGCGGGCTTCATCAGTTCATGCAATCAGGCTCGACGAGGACTGCACCTGCCTGAGTTGGTTGTGAAAAGCAAACTATCCTCGAATGGTATAAAGCCTGCTCGATGAGAGTTGAAATGCCTGAAGACAAGGATATGAGTTTGTAATTACAATGTACCGTATTTTCCGCACTATACGGCGCTTCGGAGTATAAGGTGCACCTTCAACGAATGGCCTATTTTAAAACTGTTTTCATATGTAGGGCGCAGCTCATCATAAGCCGCATAGAATAGAAGTTAAAATAGTGGCTGCGGTTGCGCTATGCACCCACTAGATGGAGCTACGCTAAAGGAAATACAATACAATACAGCTTTATTGATATAGAGCATTCATAACCGCTGCAGCTGTAACAAAGCACTTTCCAGAACATTTAAAATACTATGTCCAAGAAATCAAAATATTGATCCATTTGTAACTCCTTCAGGATGTAGCATGAAGCACAACACAGAAGTCCGTAAATATACAGGGTTTATTCCATGGCAACCCGTGAGAACTGGTCACCAACACGGACATGAAACATATAAACACAAATGGCATTACAAAACAATAAATGAAAGACAAAAGTTCTGAAGACAATTGGTTCAACAAATAGGCACACAAACCTCCTGGGCTCACATCAACAAGGGGCTAAATATCCTTAGAGGTCTTGCTTGTCTCCTTCTTCCTTCGTTTAGTCGCTATGCTTTTGGTATTATCTTCATTTCATAATGGCTGCGCTGAGCTCACAAAGCAGTTGTCTGTTTGAGTGTGTGTTGGCGAATGCACATGTCAATTAGTGTCGGACAGAACCCTTTGACGTTACGATTGGTTCCTGCTAATAATCACAATTAGATGGCATAGGAACACTCACAGGGAAACAACTCAATGGAGAATATAAAGAGACTGTAACACCATAGATAAGGCGCATCGGATTATAAGGCGCACTGTTGGCTTTTGAGAAAATTGAATGCTTTTAGCTGCGCCGTATAATGCGTAAAATACGGTACATGGTTACAGCAATTAACAGTTATCCTTCCCAGTCTAGCATAGGACCTAATATCCTCATTTATTGTCTTGAATTAGGCTTAGTTACTCAGAATCAGAATCATCTTTATTGGCCAAGTATCTTAAAACACACCCCAGGAATTTGTCTCTGGTAGTTTGAGCCACTCTAGCATTGCAGCAAACAAGCCACTCTAAGAAAATGAACATTTAGGACATTACACATAAGGACAGAGTCATTAAACAATGTAAGGATACCATTAGTGCGGTCGTACTCAGCAATGGCAGCTGTGCTAATGTTGCCGAGAGTCAGCAACGAATATGAAATGTCACGTCAAGCAGGCCCGGACCTCCCAGTGCAGATGTCCCGCTTTCGTTCTCAACGTCCGCCCGTTTTGTGATTGCAGGCGTGCAACGAGTTCACCACCCACGTGATGAACCTGCTGCGGGAGCAGTCTCGGACGCGACCCATCTCGCCTAAAGAGATCGAGCGCATGGTCAGCATCATCCACCGCAAGTTCAGCTCCATTCAGATGCAACTCAAGCAGAGCACCTGCGAGGCCGTCATGATCCTGCGCTCGCGATTCCTCGACGCCAGGTCCGCTCTCACTCTTGTGGCCTCGCTTTCTTGTTGAAACTCTTTTGCTCCAAGGGCTTTTGTTTTTAGCCAATTTTTTATTTTTTTTCATGATATCGGCCAGACAACAAATAGTATGTTTAGATTTCATTCAAACCTCGGTTTTCGAACGTCTCTGTTCTCGACCAAATCAATTTTCGACCAAAAATTTCGAGTTCTTTATGCCTCGGATGACGACCGAATTTCGTTTCTCGAACAAACTGAGCGCACTTGAATGTGTCACTTGACTCCTCTCGCCTTCCTTACACGAGGAAGTGACGCAGCCAATTATTGAAAAGCATTATCGAAAGTAATTTTCCTATATATTTTTTAATGTATTGTTACCGATTTTTTTCCAGTTTATGGTTAAAATTTCAATCATTTTATGACACTAATATGACATTACAATACTTTTACATGACATTCATTGATAAACAGCAAATTTCAATCAGTATTTTTAACACTGCTTTAAAAATGTGTCGTTTTTTACGAGGATATCATGTTTTTGAATTTTTTTTTTTTTTTTTTTTTTTAGGTTTGACCTAAAAAAGCTTGCACAATCCTGATTTGACCATGTGTTGCAGTTTTTAGCCATGACCTTTCAGAGACAAAATTCCACCTGTTGCTGACCCTAACCCTGAGTTAATAAATATTACCAAATAAATCACGACAGTATATTGCATATTTTATTATTTTTATGATATCATTATAATTGTTATGAAAACCTGACATGTTAGAGGAAAAACAAAGGCAAATTTGGAATCAAAAATATCCATCCAGCAAAATAACCATAAAATTGTTGACTGGTGTTTTTTTTTCCATGTCATTTTATAATCACATTTTTCTATTTTATTGTTAACATGCCAACAAGAGCTTGAAATTCATTTTGTGGTACAATGGCTTCAACCGGGACAAAAGCATCGCTGCCGTTACCATGGCAACACCTTAATCTTTTATGATGCAGTAATTCAAGTAATATTGCATTATTAGTCAGTCCTGAAAGTATATTTTTGTTTCTGCTAAGCTATACCCAGAATACTAATCCATTTTTCTTTCCTGCTCTAGGCGAAAGAGGAGGAACTTCAACAAACAGGCGACAGAGATTCTAAACGAGTACTTTTACTCCCATCTCAGTAATCCTTATCCAAGTGAAGAGGCCAAAGAAGAGTTGGCCAAGAAATGCAGCATCACAGTGTCACAGGTGACCTCACCTTCACCGTCGACTTCTTTTTTTTTTTTGTTTTGTTTTGTTTTTCCAACTGAAGGCACTTTTTTTTTACAGTGATTACCATATTTTTTATCACCAAAAGGCGCACTTAAAAGTCTTACATTTTCTCCAAAATGGACTGGGTGCCTAATAACGCGGTTCGCCTTGCGTAAGCACCGAGTTGCAAAAAAAAAAAAAAAAAGGTGGGCGTGAAAGAGGATGCAAAAGGCATGCCCCCCAGTAGGTCCCAGTACATGCAAAACAACATCCCGCAAATGGCACCTACGAAGAGACACACTTAGGAAGCGCGGTTAAAACTGTAAGCTAATAGTTACGCGGAGGACCATGGGAATTGAGCAGACGTGAGAGAATTCAAGATCAACTAATCCATGGTTCTCTGGTGCTTTCGTTTTATGAAACGGCGCCATCTATCCATCTGGGCAAGGATGACCGTGGCGCAGCAACATCCGCCAGATTACAAGGAAAAGCTGGCTAAATTATGCAAAATTACGCACTTCCCCCCCCCCCTCCAAAATATATAATTTTTAATATTTCATCCTGTGTGGTGGATCTATTGTTATAATACTTCACTTGACACTATAATCCGTGACTTTTACGAATTGAACTACTGAAATAAATTTCACGCACGAGGCCTACGATCTACTGATGTACTGTTGCCCAAATCAAATTCATCAAAACAACAGAGCAAGTCCAAGACATATGCACTTTTGAATGGCAAAAAAAACAGAACTGTCAAATTGAGGAAAAAATTGTGGATTTACAGCTCCCGGAGCAAACATTGTGGTCTGTTTATATGGTGTGCCTTTCCAATGCAGAATGCGGCTCATGTAGATTCTGCAAAACGGTTATAATCCAACCAGTGTGTCTCGTGTGTGTGCTCTCCAAAAAGGTCTCCAACTGGTTTGGAAACAAGAGAATCCGCTACAAGAAAAACATCGGCAAGTTCCAGGAGGAGGCCAACATGTACGCGGCGAGGACCGCCGTCAATGCCACCAGTGTGTCTGCACACGGCAGCCAGGCCAACTCCCCGTCTACTCCCAATTCAGCAGGTAAGAGAGACCAATCCCCCCCACCCCCACCCCTGGAAATACTGTAAGCGTTGGCCATTGGAAGATATTTATTTATCTTTCATTTCAACCGGCGCAGATGTTTTCAGAAGCTCTTAAAGTCTGATTGTGTTCTCTGGCTCTTGGTTTTATTTGGATTTTTCTTGAACTCACCCACCAGGTGCTATACGGGCTCCCTTGCCTTTCATTTATTTTTCTTTTTTTTTTCCCAGCCCGCCATCTGACACTCATTTTCTTCTCTCCTCTCTCCATTATTGACCCTTTTGCTCTTAATTCTTCCTGCCTCTTGTCCGGTTGACCTTGTGCATGCCATTAAGCCGTTGAAAGGGCAAGCCGAGTCTTTTGTCATAAAGAGACTTTCGCCGCAGTATTGGATTAGGACCGGGTGTTGAAATCAAGTTACGCCCTGGTCTCTTTACATCTGGGGAGCTGAGCTCCATTAAAGGCCCAACGCCGTTCTTTGGGTCTTCCTGCAGATCAATTATTGCTTCCTTAATGAAATACTCGCAGCGTGCACAGCAAACAGTGATAGAATCCATGAGGCGAGCTTTAACTGGACTTAAGCAGTTTTCGGACAATTACCTGTCTTGTGTCTCTTGAGTTATGCTTCAGAGATGCCTTCGTGTGGACCCACTGCGTCTGTCCTCGTAAACTAACCCGGCTAATGCACTTTTGCTTACGCATGATCTTTGAAACTCCTTTTTCTGTCCCTTTTCCTCGCTCTTTCTTTTCCTCCTCTGCATCTGTCGTGCTCTCAGGTTCTGCTGGTTCCTTTAACATGTCAAACTCCGGAGACTTGTTCATGAGTGTGCAGTCCCTCAATGGGGACTCGTACCAAGGGGGGCAGGTTGGGGCCAACATACAATCCCAGGTAGGCGCTTCTCCAGTTTCTAAGGTAGCATGTAGAACAAGAACACTTTTGAGGTGGCCCATTTGGATGAAATTTTACCTTCGTTTATACGGTGTTGCATTCAGGTCCATATATGACTGTGCACCCTCGAACATGGAACTCAAGCGGATGTCTTTTGTTTTCAAGGCACCGTGATGCCATCAAGGTCATTTAACGAGATGAGAAACGCATATTGAAAGAGCATTTGTTGGCAACTTGGCAAACAAGAGATGGAAAGTGGGGGTTGTGACACATCTGACCTTCGAAGCACTATTATGCACTGCACTTATTGTAATTCAGTGTCTGTGGATGGGTTATACTGTACCTGTATTTGATTTGTGGATGGGTGTTTTTCATATGTTGTTGAAACATTTTGAGTTTTTACTTCACTATACTTTTTTTTTACCTTCCGCACAAGAAATACATTTAAAAAAAAACTAAAATTAACACTAAGACTAATAATACTACACTAAAATTAAGCTCTACAATTGCCGAAAGAGGTCATAAGAGGTAAGGCAAGGCAATTTTATTGATGTTACATTTCATCCACAAGCCAACTCAGTGTGCTTCACAGAACCAAAAGCATTCACAAACACAACAGCTGAAGGCATTCAACAGCAAAGCAAAGAGAACAAAAGTAGCTCACTTAGAATAATTAAAAGAACGTACATTGTAACTCAGTTACAAACAAAAGACAGAAGACATTTAAAATCAAAGTCAAGAAATGAAAAGTAGCTTTCCAAAATGACATTGAAATTTTAATGGCGCATGCCCCACCTTTCCACAAAGTTCCACGGAAATCTCTGAGCTCAACGCGTTCAACCAAAGTCGAATTGGACATGAACACAATCGCTCAACCTCCACCAAGACACAGAGGTCGCACTTTGCCTCGAGCACGCCGTTATCGCGCTGGCCATTGTCAAGGCGTCGTTGAGTAGACGACGGTGGACAGTTCTGGAAGTGGCGCAACACTCATCAGCACCCCTGACTCGCGTAGCATAGCCGTAGCCGTAGCATAGCCAGCGGTGTAGCACGCCTCTGCGACCTTGCCCCAGTGGACGCAGATGTCCGGCGCCGCGGTCAGGAGTGTTACAAGTCTTCACCAGGAACTGAGGAAACACCACCCGTGGTGATTCTCTCGTTTGGTTTCAGTGCTTTTGGCAGCATTCCTCAACCCATCCAACAAGCCCCCTCAACCCCCCACCCACCCATCCACAGCCTTTTCTATTCAGATCAGCTCGAGAAACACCCGAGGTTGAGCATGAATATGCAAATGTGACAACTCTTAAAGGGGTAAAGTGGTCTTCGGGGTTGGCCCCTCACCATCCAACCTCGCATTCCTCCTAATGGATTAGTTTTACGGCGTTGTCAGGACTGCTCTGTGCAATTCCACTAGAGGAAGGGGAGGGGAGAAAAAAAAGTTTGACTAAATGAGCCTTGAGTAGAGTCATTTGTAGTGGTACCCAAATGGCAGGTGTGCTTTTTCAAGCATAACCTGGCTAACTGCACTGCCAAGAGCTGCAAAGTGGCTCCTAGTGAACACGGAAAATGGCAGTTTTCCAGAAGAAAAAAAAATCCTTCTACAAATAAATAATGTGGTGCGCACTGTATTCATCACAGTGATTGCAGCCAAACACGCTATCATATAACAGTTCATCAAGAATGAACAAAATCAATCATTCTTTCTTGTCACAAGGCCAGTGCTTCTCAATGATTTTTTTTTGTAATGTCTCCACCCCACCCAAGGAAGAAGAAAATATTTCGTTTCCCACCAACTCTTCGCCGCAACTATAAAATGCACCATTTGTCTATAAAATTCTTGTAAGTACACTTCTGCAGAGGCGCTAATACTTCTTGCACACTCTCTGACAGTGAGGGCGCCACTGCTACCAGAAGTAGTGGATGTAGGGACGATTTCGAGTGTTAACCTACCATGCATGTTTTTGGAATGTGGGAGGAAACCGGAGTACCCGGAGAAAACCCACACAGGCACGGGGAGGCCCAATGGTGTTCTTTGGGTCTTCCTGCAGATCAATTACAAAGGAAGGCCGGAGCAGGAATCGAACCCTGCACCTCTGCACTGTGAGGCCAATGCACTAACCACTCGATCACCGGACCACCTCTATTATCCATCCATCCATCCATCCATTTTACGATCCACTTTATCCTCACAAGGGTCGCGGGGGGTGCTGGAGCCTATCCCAGCCGTCTTCGGGCAGTAGGCGGGGGGACACCCTGAACCGGTTGCCAGCAATCGCAGGGCACACACAGACGAACAACCATCCGCACTCACACCTCAGGACAATTTAGAGTGTTCAATCAGCCTGCCATGCATGTTTTTTGGAATGTGGGAGGGAACCGGAGTACCCGGAGAAAACCTACGCAGGCCCGGGGAGAACATGCAAACTCCACAAAGGACCCTGCACCACTGCACTGTGAGGCCGACGTGCTAACCAGTCGACAAATGGGCCGCTTCTATTACATATATGATTCATCAACTAATTAACTCAATGATCTGCTGGTACCCGCGGCCCAATTTACCACATAACGGTCGAATAAGGGGATACAGACATAACATTTCATTCCTTTTTGTATTTGTGAAACCCTGACATTATTATAGGCATCCAAAGCACAAATACTGCATTCCTAATTTGTCTCTTCATCATATCTTGTCCTTTTGCTTGTTATCAAGCGTGTGCACTGATTGTGCCGTTCACTATCGCACTGACCTTTCTTGCTGCACACCACTCTTTATTATCTACACCTTTTGTCTGACCTGGGCTTTTATTCTGTGACCCCCCCCCCAACCCCCCACCTTCCCACCCTCTTCCATTGTTCCAGGTGGATACCCTTCGCCATGTTATCAGCCAGACCGGCGGATACAGTGACAGCCTCGCTGCCAGCCAGATGTACAGTCCACAGGGCATCAACGTAAGTACGCCCGCACGGAAAGATGGAGTGCGCGTGCTGCCACCACACTCGGTTTGCCTCAGTTAGGCTGCTATCCAGCCAGTCGACCCCCCTCCGTTTTTGCTCCGGCCGTGCCCTGGGTGGCAGGCAATGAGGCAGCTAGCGGCCTGAATTCGCTGGACACGCTCCGAGTCTGTCGGGGGACATTAGCGTTAGCGTGGCACCTGCAGTGGACGGGAACAAGGACACAGGTGTCATCCGAGCACAACAATACTCTTCTACCTTGTGAACCGTAGTTGAACCCCTCCCCCCCAGCTTCTCACTTGTAGAGACTTTAAAGTTGATAATTACCTGTACCAAACTTTGTTAATTTGAATAAATTGTGCAACAATTACTATACGATTGCCACAAAACTTTTGTAGAGGCGATGGGGATGGCCCAACATTGTATTTGAAAAGAGTCAACAGCATTTTATTCCGAGGGTATAAACAAATCCTGTATACAGGACTACTCAAAAATGTCAAACAACAAAAGGTGGTTATCTATAAACATCTATAAATTGATTTTGATTTTTGTGCCTTGGTGGAGGTCTGTGCCTCACTGCGTGCTATTCTTGTTCTTAAAAAAATACATATTGTGACATTTAAAAAATAATCATTAAAAGAAAAATAGTCTCCAAGTGTCTTCACAAAGGCAAAGCAGCTTTATTTATATCGTGCATTTCATACACAAGAAAACTCAATATGCTTCACATACTTCCAAAACAACAATTAAAAGGCGAAGAAAAAACATTTAAAAGCAAAGTAGGGAAGTAAAAAGTAGTTCACTAAAATTATTAAGAGAACATGCTGCACAAGAACATGATTTTGGAAAAAATAATGATAGAAATGCTGTAAAAAACCTTAATCATAGGTATGGGAGGGAACAAAAGCATAGTTTTGAACCGGGATTTAAAATCATTTACACTTGGCGCAAACTTCAATTCTGTTGGCAGTTTATGCCATGTGCATGCAGCGTAACAGCTAAATGCTGATGCCCCATGTTTGCTTTGAACTCTTTGACCCGAGTCTGCTGACCTCTGTCTCTGACATTCAAAGGTTAAATTAGACACATGATAAAGAATCACAACATTCATAGTTTTCACATTCTAACTTCAAATCACTCATTTTTTTTGTTAAGGGGCAGGCTGTCTTGTACAAATGTATGAGTATGGCTTTCGTTACCATGACTACCAGACCAGAACAGAACTCGGGCATGGCTCCTCGGTGTTGCCAATTTAGATTGTTACAATTCGGCAATCAGCCCAGTTCCCTCCCTGACGCATTTTCTCAAACAGACCAATAACAAAAGATTTAGTCGGTAGCTGTTTAATTTCACACTTTGGGCAGGCATTCCAGAGACCCACTTTTGTATACGCAGACAATTAAAAATTCATTTTCCATAACATAAAGAACAACCCGTTGTATTTTCTTGGTCTTAAAGGATCACAACAAGCTTTTGTAGGTCTTCGAGCTGTGCTGAGCCAGGCCAGGCCAGGCATGGCGGCGGCGGCGGCGGCACTGGAGGCAGTGTGTTAACATGTATATCCACAGCGACAGGCGGCGCAGCGCTGAACAGAATCAATACGACAGTCGCGGGGACGGAGGGAGCGGGGCTTTGGGCAAACAGTCCAAGCACATTGGCCCGATCATTCATCTACACAAACAGCCGCACTGACAAGGCTGCAACAGCCCTGGCGCTCACTATAATAAGAACATGCACGCATGGAGATCACCGCAATGTGCAACAGGCACAACGGGGTGTCCCGCCCCGAGTCTCGCTCTCACCCACCGCTATTATCGCCCAATCAGAGCAATAAAAGTTGATGTCTTTCTTTGGAAATATGCTCGAGTGAAGCTAACTAGCAGTGGGTGGGGTGTTGCACATGAAGAAATGGATTGAAATATGGATCAAAAGCCATACAGTTCATGTTTTATAGTATCGCAGATCAAGGCATGTAATTTGTCCTGAATATCCATAGAAGATACATATGCAAGCTTTTTTTTTTTTTTTTTGGAAAGCGCCTGAAGGTAGTTTTAAAATCTAAACAAGGATGTTAGTTGGAGATGACATATCATGTCCTTGTTCATCTCACGTTACGCTCTGTGAGCCAAAACAAAACCGGCAGCCGCAGTATTTTATTTTTTTTAACGCAAGTCCGGATGAAATAATAGCAACACGCAAAATAACCAAGCAATCCGCGTTCGTGAGTTTTATATTTTAACAACCCCCCCCCCAGCCCCCTAATTTTGTATTCCTGTGTAATCAATGCAAAATGTATTTTGTCATTCTGTATTCCAAATGTGGAATAATTCACTTCACTTGAATTTAAAAAGTAGTACCAACACACACACACACACACACACACACACACACACACACACACACATATATATATGCGCGCGCGCGCGCACACACCCACGCACACACGCACACATTAAAAAAAAACATGAACCATTTCTGGTTCTCTGGAACGTCCTGGAGCGTCACCCAAATTTATGATTTTATTTTATTCACATCTTGTTTTGCCACGATTTAAAACTAGGGATGATTTTTTTTTTCTGCAAGCTGTCTTATTTCATACCCGACTTCCCAATGATGAAATAATAATTTTTAGCCCTCCCAAAATTCAGCATCCTCACTTTGAGATTAAAATGTTGAAAAAGGAAAAAAAAAAGTAGCATGAACAATATTACACAAAGTGTTATTTCATTTGAATTGACAATGACAACAAATTCTACCTCGCATTGTCTTCCACTGGTTTTATAAAACCACTCTGAATAATCTGATTTTCTTTTTTCATTCATGACAGAAATGTCATCATTTCATCCCATTGATGGGCCAATTTTCTTTCTTTATTTTATTGTTTTTTTTTAGACCCCAAAAAATCGGCCTGTGTAGTGAAGATGAATGTCGATATTTCTCATGTTTGCAATGAGAACACATTGCGGGTAGCCAAGTTGTGCACAAGGACGCTTGCACTGAGTTCACCTTCGCCTCCTTCATCCTTCAACAATTGTTCCCCTGCAAATTGCTGGTGGGCGTCGTCGCCTCTCCCAGAAAGCCAAGAAATGTTTTGTGCCTCCCGTTTTTTTTTTTTTTGTCTCGCGCTCGCTATTGAATAACATGACAGACGGCCTGTACGCTAAATAACAGGCTTTGGGAAATAAGCGGTGGCTGAAAAGCACGTTCCCATTTTCACTTAATAGTTGAAATTGCAATTGATGTCACTAATGGTCCCGAGTCAACCTTTGAGACGACTTTGATGGAGAGATTCTTTTTTTTTTTTTTTTTTTTTGTTATTGTTGTTATCATGTATTCTTTCATTCTGACGTATATGAATGTGTGTGCGTATCTTTTGGTTTCAGCCCTTCAGTTATTCTCAAAAGACGTCCAGGGACAATTGGCACAGTGCTATTTTTGCGAAAGATCTTTTCATATGGTGTGCGTGCGCATGTGTATGTGTGTTACAGTATTAAAAAAAACAAAACAAAAAAAAAACGGGTATGTTGTTGAGGGAGATGCTGCTTGTCTTTTGATGCTATTTTCTCGAGGCATGATTCATTTTATGCATCGTATGAATTCATATCATTTTTTTTCATTGGCCTCTCTAAGGAAGAAATTGTTTTGATACAATCTACGTACACATGCTTGGATTTTTTTATTTGGTTTAATTAATTCTGTTTCATACTGTATGTATAATATACATTGTCAGATTCATCCATTATCTGAACCGCTTGTCCTCACGAGGGTCGCGAGCGTGTTGAGGCCTATCCCAGTTGTACACCCTTAACCGGTTCCCAGCCAATCACAGGGCACACATAGACAAACAACCATCTGCGCTCACAATCACACATAGGGACAATTTAGAGTGATCAATTAACCTACAATTCATGTTTTTGCAATGTGGGAGGAAAGCGGAGTACCCACAGAAAACCCACGCAGGCACGGGGAGAACATGCAAACTCCACACAAAAAGGCCGGGGCCCGGATTCAAACTCCTCTTTACTGTGAGGCAGTACTACTACTACCAGTACTTCATTTTTTAAAAAAATATTTTATCATATTTTAAATATTAAATATTCGATTTCTATTGTTTATGATACATTTATTAAATATTTATTATACTGTGTATACAAATATATATGTGTGTGTGTGTGTGTGTGTGTGT